GGTGTCGCAGCAGTGGAAAATCTTCACTCTGCGTCCGTGGCAGTAAGCGGTATCCTAAGCGAATATTCGAGCTTATGGATCCCGTGGCCGGAGATCGTGGATCTGGCCGTGGGGTTGCCTTGCGGGTGTGTTCCCTTGCCTTTGTGCTGTCCTTTAAGTCGTACTTGCCGCCTCCTGTGACGGGATCTTGAGAGTTGAGAACCTCTAGGGTGTAACCGACCAAGTAGTAAATTCGGTTAACCTGTCGGATCTGCACGAGTAAAGGAAAAGCTCACTAGGTTGTAGGATCTGGCCAATGTATTATCCAGTTATCACTACCAACACTAGATTCGCAATTCCCAACCTTCTCGGAGCTCGTACGGCCAATGTAGTTCCGGTTCTTGAGGGCAGGAAGGCACTTGCGTGTCACTGTGCAAATTGGAGTCTGTATTGATATTTAAGCCTATACCTGCCTGGGTTTCTACCTTCTATGTCTTTCATCTGCTAAATCCCTTACCAGGCTCGGCTGCATGTCCCTTCTTCCCTTGACCCATCATCCCAGCTGTGTTATCTTCAGATCCACCGGATATATGACGTAATCATCATGGTCACCCTATTATGGGTACACTCATCCGGATCCAGGTCGCTTGGATCCACCTCACTGTAATGGTACACTCGCCGTGGATCCGAGCTCTCCAATCATCCAACATCATCTCGCAACCGTCTGTGATCTCCGTTGTCCCACGAAAGTTCGAGATCCACTGTATCCCTCATCCCTATACCCTGGATCCAGGTCCCTCCAGGCGGGATCCTCCCTCCTTGGATACGAACTCAGAAGTATGGGATCCGGGGTACCTCGCGGTGGATCTTGACTCTTCATTAGCCGTGGCTACTAGATCCACCGTCAGAGGGCACCGACCATCCTTCCTTCATAGGATCCACACTCGATCCACTCTTGTATAGTATATCCCATATCCATCTTAGTGAATCCAGGTAAGGGTGGATCCGAGGTAAGTCTTGGTGGATCTTGCCTTCTCGTACATCGCTCATATCAGATCCATCGTCATTCCATACGGGGTGCTGCTCGCCATGGCTAATCCACCACAGGCAACTTGCACCCGTGCCAAACAACCCAAATCCTCTATAATCACTTGAAATTGTCACTGATTCGGGATAGTGACCCCGCGTCAGGACCATTCTCTTATTTCTGAGAAAGCACTTCACCACAAAGACACGAGCGGCATCTATAGAGATGTTCCGCTTCTTGATCATCGACAGGTCCGAAGCTCGCCCGAACAGATAACAGAGCAGACACAGAACAGAGCAATGTGCACCGGAGGCCGCAAATTCATTTGTGAGGGCGGCAACAGGCAAAGGGGGCCACTAATGAGAGCACATACAGTCAACGTGGACGTTACCCATTGACCACCTTTATTAGCCAATAAAGGCGAGCAGCCAACTATTGCTTGGTATCAGCCAATAGGCAGTTGGCACCTGTCTTCGTATAGACACGCACCAATGCGTGGCTGTAGAGGCGCCGACGGGGGCCAAAACAGCTCATTCTCCTTTTTTCAGCGGCTACTGAGCAGAGCTCCGACCTCTACCACCACAGTGCCGTAGCTCAAGGAAGAGCCAGGGGTTCGCCCCTGAGGTGCCCGTTCAAGTCGGGCCGGCGCTATCCTTTGGGATTCGGTGGGGGTCTGATGCTTGTGATGCTGAAGCAGGACGACGCTAGGACTGAACGACGGTGTCGCTGGGGAACGCTGCTGCCACTTACAGACGCTTGTGGTTACGTGTGATGCTGCTGCGGGTACGCTCCATGTGGTTTGGAGTGTGCTGTGTTGTGGGTTTGCGTTTTGCGTGGGATGTTCGTGTGTTCTACGTGCTGCGTGACATGTACGTGCTGCTGGAGCGAGATGGCGCTGGACTACGCTGGCACGGATGGACGGCGAAAGGCGCTAGAGCTGAGGCACGGCGCCGTCGCTGTTTGGTGAGCTGCTGCTGTTGCTGCTGCTGGGCGACGCTGGAGCGAGTTCATGATGCTGGCCACGGCCGATGCTACAGCTGCATGTGTCAAAGCGTGTGTGTATACAGTGTACTAACAAACGCAATATGTATTTGCTTGGTTTGAAACTTACACGTGGCCTGCTACTGCGAGGATGTCTTGTGTGTCAATTGGTGCAGGATTGACAATTCTTCCAATCGCAAGCAGCCGCTTGTACGCAGCGATGTGCTTGTCCAAGATACCATCCTTGTGGAGTGGGCGCAGCGCGCGCAGGACGCTTCCAGATCCCTTCGCGTTTGTGCCACGCGCCTTCAAGAAGGCAATCACGGCTTCTTCCGCGCGGCGACCGGCGCCGAGGACTTGGTATCGGTAGTCCTTCGCCTTCGTGTCCAGCTTGACACCTTGCTCGAGGAATACTTTCATAAAAGCGACGACGTGGCGCGACTCTGACTTTTTCTGGCGGTCGGCAGAACTCCAAACGGGTAGCACCTTCGTGTACCACTCGTACCATGTGGTCGACAGGTGCGTCACTTGCTTCTTCCTGCGTTTAGGCTTGGGATCTTGATCTGACGTTGCGTCCGTTTGTTCACGCAGCACCTGTGTAGCTTGTGTGCTTGGACTATTTAGTATAGCAGCTTCGACGATTGTCAAGCGAGCGCTCAACGTGCGATTAAGCGCGATAAGCTTTTAATGACAGCGCCGTGATGACATCCTCTGCATCCTCTTGCATCATCTTGTTGCTTGTTGTTGCGATCAAAGGTTGTCGACGGTGATCTGTTCAGGGCCGATGACCAGGCCATCATGTCGGCATGAGAAATTCCAGACGTGTCCAAGCTCTCCTCCACGCGAAGCACGATCGGCGCAGAAGGAGACAGCGCCTTCAACAGAGGGTAGTACTTGACCAGGTAAGCGGTAAGTACAGCAAGAACTTTACCACTAACGTTGAACCGGGGGTCTTTCAATCCCGAGCATGAACTGTACAGGATGTCTTGTAGGCGCGCGAGTTGCTCCTGCGTGGAGTGATCCAAGACCTCAACGTCGAATGCTTATGCTTATACTTAAAAATAAAAATAAGAATAAACACTTCTGGATGATGTACCTTATCTTCGTCAGCCCCACCAGTCCGAGCCACACTGCTATCCCTGGTTGGCTCTTCATCCAGCATAACCGGGATTCTCTCCATAGTGACATCGTCCACTTGGAGATATTGTTTCGTTGAAGCTGTGTCAACATAAACACTTTTGGCACATCGTCGACACTCCACCCGCTCAGTACACGCGCGACCTTGCGGTCCTCCTGCGGTGTGTTGAACACATACGCGAAGCCTTTGTTTACCTTGCTCATGTCCCAGGCGCCCCGGTCGAAGATCCACTGTGGAGCAAGCTTCTCGTCCGCATTCGCATGTTGAGCGTCGCCGCGACGGAAGGAGTGCGAAGAGAGGGCTTCTGACGCCCCAGCAGGGTTTGAGACGCGCTTGAGGAGGCGGTTCACGTATGCTTGGACTCCATCTTCCCCGGGCGTAGTCTCCCTTGGTCGGGACGGCGTCGACAAGCTTGGGCCTGGAACCGCTGAGGGTGCTGCAACAGCGGCAGCGTCTGGCAGACTTGGTGCGGGTGGTGTGCCAGCAGGCACGGACGAGCATGGGCCTGCGAGTGCAGCCATCAAAGAGACCGGGTCCGCTTCCAGTAAATCTGCTAGCGGCAGTCCGGGGGCGCTGGTGGTGGCTTCAACGGGAACAAGGTCTGGTAGCTGGCTGAGCAGCGAGCCGCATGGTGCATCCTGCGTTGCCAGCGCCACAGCCAACGCGTGGATTGGGCAAGTCAGGAAGTCCGTCTTGTCTGGCACGAGCGTTAGTCCCTGCATCTCGGCGGTCTTAACGCGCAGCAGACGCACGTAGAAGACACCGTCAGCTGAAACTGACACGTGCTGCTTTTTGATGTACCCCAGGTCCGACGATCGCCCGAAGCAGTGCCACATCGGGCACGCGAGTGCAGAATCCTGGTAGTCGGCTTTCACGCGAGCGTTGCTGTAGACATATTGTGTAAGTGCATGCAGGTCCTCCTTTGTACAAGGAGGCGCCTAGTTAACAATACCTCCTTTCTCTGTTTTCGGACAGTGCTTATCTAGAGTTTTACTTTGCTTCAGTAGCTGAAGCTCCGTAGGCACCCTTAGATGAGGATACAGATCAAATAGCCAAAGCTTTACATATCTATAATACGAAACGGCAGTGTTGCGTGCAAGTTTGCCTTTCTTACCTTCGTTAGTAGCCAGATAGAACCCAAAGCGGTCCATTATTGAGGCGAAGCGCTTGCCAGTCGTGTCAGACGCAATGCTAGCCTGCACATACTCTAGGCTTACCATCTCCTCTTCCAGCATACGCTTGAAAGCGCATACCGCGGTGGTACGCGCTTTCTGCGTGTTTGCTGGCACGAACGATGCCAGGCTCATGTCTGCTTCGTCTGCTTTCCAACTGTGCACTCCTAGCCACTAAGACTTTTGTGCTGCCTTAGGCTGGCGACTTGCCTAACATAGGATAGTACCTAGAGACCGGAAGTGTCAGCAATGCCCTAACAACTTGACATTTGTATTGACATATTCATATTTTGTCATTGGTTCCGACAAATATTTGTCGGAAGCTGTCGGAGCCGGAGCCCTAACCTTAGATTATATGATTGGCGGAAATGTTCAAATAAAGATTTGTGGTTGGTTTAAAAAGTGTTGCTTCCTGTACAATTACAATCTCACCTAACTATCGGTCGGAAAGACGTGTATATTCATCCATATATTTCGTTTTGCACATGTCTGTCTATCCATGCATCAGCAACCAGGTAGACAGCTACTTGTGTGATTAGTGTTCTTCAGTGTTACGACTGAGACGGCCCAGTCCGTTCAAGGCGGCGACACGGTAAGCTTCCGCTAGCGTTGGATAGTTAAACACAGCGTCGCGGAAGTAGGTCAGAGAGCAGCCCATGGCCATTGCTACCTGTCCAATGTGAATAATCTCCGTAGCTCCCTCTCCGATGGCGTGGACACCGAACACCTTGAGTGTGTCAGGATCGAATAGGATCTTCAAAGTGCCACCAGCCATGGCCCCCATCATCTGGCCTTTTGCAAGTTCCGAGTACTTGGCAATTCCAATCTCGTAGTTGACGCAATCCTTCGTGAGTTGCTGCTCCGTTTGGCCCACCATAGAGATCTCTGGGATTGTGTAGATGCCGTATGGATAGTTGCCGTTCTCCAATTGACTCGTGGCAGCGAGTTCCTCGTCCGGATTCCACATGTGGCACGACGCCAGACGACCTTGTTCCATGCTTGTGGAGGCAAGTGCTGGGGCACCAATGCAGTCGCCAGCAGCGTAGCTGGAAAGATAAGCCAACAGAAGAATGGGTAAGACTACCGCGACCACCTGACAAATAAAGGGGTGCCCAACACCTACATGTGAGGCTGGTCAGTCTGGTAATTCTTGTTGACGTTGATGAGGCCGCGATGGTTGCGCGAGAGTCCCACCGCTTCGAGATTCAGTCCGTCCGTGGCCGCCTGACGGCCCACCGTGTACAATAGCGCGTCGGCACTAAGTGCCTTGCCGCTGTTGAAGAATACCTTCACGCGCTTGTCCGTCGTCTGAAAACTCAGCTACCATGTTAGAAAGCGGTTTCAATCCACGTATTGCAGCGTCCTCGACAATTTACCTCAACTTTCTTAACAGTCTCGCCCAGTAGGAACCGTGCTCCGTTGCTCTGCATCTCATACGTGAGGTTGCTGATGATCTCGCGGTCGCAGAAGGACAGTATCTGTGTACAACAATCCACTTAGTATCGCCCTTTCCCTTTATTGTACTTGAAAACACTCACGTCTGGCCGTCCATCCACGACTGTGACTGTGTGGCCAGGCACGACATTGACCATGGATGCGTATTCCATGCCGATGACACCAGCGCCCAAGACGATAAGCGAACGTGGCAGCTGGTGCATGTCGCGACTGAGGATCTGGTCACTATCGATGACAACCTTACCATCGATAGGGATAAGCGGGTTGTGTGCAGGTCTCGTACCGCATGCGATGAGGAATTTATCGGCCTTGATACGAGAGAGTGAGTCCACATTGCTGCGACCTGTGACTGAGCTGTTCTTCTTCTTGTCGTCCTCATCTCGGACGATGGAGATCTCGTGCTCGTTTTCGAAGCGCGCAAAACCTGGCACAACGTCCACTCTCGCAGCTTTCAGCTGAGCGCGCACCACGTCCTCTTCGGAGCTCACGACTCGCTGCACACGATACAAAATATCCTCGATTGTCACGGTCTTCATACTGTAGGATTTGCCATAGAAACCATGGTGACGATAGCCTGAGAGATGCAGCACAGCCTCACGAAACGTCTTGGACGGGATCGTGCCCGTGTGAACACACACACCACCCAGTCGTGTCTTCTTGTCCACAATGGCAACACGTTTACCCTGTTTGGCAGACTCGAGTGCGCACTGCGTGGCGGATGGTCCACTACCGATCACCACTAGGTCGTAGGCCGCTACCTGCGGCTTGAGCGTCGAACACAGACGCCCACGCAGCAGCGGGGTCGAGCGCGTCGCCGCGGTCCAGAGCCCCACCATTGCCATGAGTCAGCAGTCGGGACGTGTGAGCCCCATGTTTGCTAAACTCATATGATTGGTTGAAATGCGGCGCCAGCTGAGGCTGTGTGTGATGTGGCCCACACAGTGTATGACCTCAGGCAATATTACAAGATGGCGCGTAACGAGGAGAAGGCGCAGTCGCTGCTGAACCGATGGACGTCCATGAAGCAGGACTTCGCGGACACCTTCAAGAAGTGAGCTTCAATGAATGCATACGAACCTAGGTTTGTGCTGTGCCTGACACTGGTGTTGTTTGCTTTTCACTGCCAGTCGGAGGCCGTATTTGGCCTCGCAGTGTGACACCCTCAAGGATGCTGAGCGCTGGAGACGCCAGATTATCCGCGAGATCTCTAAGAAGGTGGCAGATATTCAAAATGGTGCGTATTGCAGTCATGAATGCCCGTATACATCTGGTCTAACTGTTATGTCGATTTGGAACTACCAGCCGGCTCAAGCGAGCACGTGATCCGAGACCTGAACGATGAGATCAACAAGCGCATCCGTGAGAAGCGCCATTGGGAGCGGAGAATCGCGCAACTAGGAGGTCCAGACTATTCCAAGTCGCAGCCACAGTCCTACGATGCAGATGGCACTCCTGTGAGTTCGGTTGGAGGATACAAATACTTCGGCGCCGCTAAGAACCTCCCAGGCGTACGCGAACTCTTCCAGAAGGAGGACGTCGAGCCTCGAAAACGCACTCGCCAGCATATGTACAAGCACATCAAACCAGATTACTATGGATTCCGGGATGATGACGACGAACAGCAGCTTAAGGACGAGGATGAAGCGGAGAAAAGGCTACGACAGCGAGCTATGGACGGCTGGGACGCCGCTGAGGCGAAGCGCAAGACTCAGGTTGCAGAGCTGGTACGTGAGACGACCAAAACAGTTCTGTAGTAGTAGTGTCGTCTGACACGATTAGGTGCTCACCTACACCTGCAAGCAGCAACAAGGAGTACCGGCAGCATGAAGAATCTGGAACAGAACGGATTGATCTACTGTGGAATCACTTCTGCTACTGTAAGTGTGCAGGGTTGATCGTGGCGAACTGCACGTGAGAGCCTCAACGGGAACAATTCATAATACCGAGAGAGCTGCTTCCGCGGGGAGCTTTTTTCCTTGTGCTTTTTTATTCATGAGTGTTGACGTGCGGAAGACGAAAGGAGCACAGGGTCATCTGCTTTAGGTCGGCTGCCTGCCTCCCCGTCGTCAGCCACTCGCTCCACCCCGCCGCGGCCAATAATTTCAGGAGGAGGAGGGCCGAGCCCTCGCACACGGCTCGACTGCTGATCCGTCCTTAGTCCTTGAAGTGGCGGATTGGGTTGGCCTTCTGGGCCTTACCGTACTCCACAGAGGCAGCCTGCCACTCAGCGGAAGTGGTCTTGGGCTCGCCAGCCACAGCGCCACCGAGATCCGGGCCTGCCAGCGCAATCAATAAAGTTAAGCCCCGGTATTTTAGAGTACAGCTCAGCAAGACGCACCAGTGTAGCGGAAGAAGGCAAAGGTGCCGTATGCCACGCCAATAATGGTAGGAATGGTGATGGCCATTGTGTTGCCCTTGGAGAGCTTCTGCGAGAGCGAAAAGAACATGCTGCTGACGTAAAATGTGGCTTTTGGAGACTGCGGCAGGCATGAACCACCAGGTTTCTGGGGCCACAGTCGAAGTTGCAAAGACCCGCGGCGTGTTCCGAATGCCTTCGTGAGCCTCCTGCGTGTCATAGGTTTAAACTCGCGTACAGCTAACTATTTTCAAGATGCGGTACTGCGTAGAAGCTCAAGGCTTACTAATACAAAAGCATTCTTTTAAAAGCGGGTGCTCACATCGACAGAATAGGGTTGAATCTTCCGATACAAAAATCGAGCTACGACACGGATATTTACCTCCTCAGACTCCACAACGAACGCACACTCTCCCATTGGCTAAAATACGTCCGTTTCAAAAGTTGTTTTTAGGAAGATAGGAGTACGTAGCTAGGCACAACATACACGAATTCGCGCTGGAGAAGTAAGATGCCGATTGACTTATTGGGAGAGTATGGCTACAGCGATATTTCCCTTCACATTGCTTTCGCAAATGCTGATATTGCTGGGAAATTTATCAATGACTCTGCACTGAGTCTGTACGGCTCGAGAACAACCAAAACTTGAAGGGGTACTTGAAGCAATGGTGAGCCAGACTCTAATGAACGCCACTCAAATGCTGCTCCGCGAGGACGAGGCCAGCGTTGTATTAGACTTGATCATTGAAGAGCCCACGTTGGTCCTCCCATTGAGCTCGGAAGGTGCTCCTCATGTTAACGTCACTGCAGATATGCTGCGGCTTGCCCACTTTCCATCCAGTGTAAACGTATTTCCGATTCACAAGGTACGACACAACTGCGTATAAGTCCAGCACATTCATAATTAACCTCAGCGCAGAATTTAATGCAATCACTACTACGTACTCTGTCTTGACTGACGCGGTAGACCCACGAAGAATCGTCGCCTTGATGGTGCAGCGCAGGAGCAGCACACCCCATATTCCCAGCTCATAGCACTCCCAACACATTAGACTAGGTCGACTCGCCGCACTGCACGCGACTCCAGTCCGGATGCGCCAGGACACAGCGTCAGATCTTCACGAGCTCCAGCAGCACGTCCGGGCTCCAGTTGCGGCCGCTATCGGGCAGCAAGTCCTCTCCATTGACCTTCACGTCCTGCAGGTCCGTCATGGGCGGCGGCAGGACTTCTGTTCCGAAAAGGGCTGCTGCAGCTGCAACGATGCATGCTGGAACGCGACGACAAGGTCATGTGTACGGTGGTCGGCCTTTTTGTAAATGGCAAGCAACACGTAAGAGATGAAACGGACGTATTTTAGCCAATGGGAGAGTGTGCGTTCGTTGTGGAGTCTGAGCTGCTTCGTTGTGGAGTCTGGAGGTAAATATCCCAGTTACGGATGGTATCCTGCTACTCCTTTAAAGTCCGATGTCGTACCTTTAGTGAGCTCAACCCATCGTAAAACTTCGCCACAATATCAGATCCGGACTGATTCCAATACTTCGAAGTACAAAAATGAGTGTTTGTATGGGATGAGAGCTTTTTGTGTGGAATCAGACGACTGGAGAGCAAACTTGATTCATCCTTGTGACGGGGGATTGCGTTAAGGCACCCAAAGAAGACGACAACACAACAGCCTTAGAGCACCCTTAAGATGCTTCCGCACCATTAGCACTGATCAGCGCCCGTATTTGTGGAAATAAATTACCAACAGAGGCAGCCGACAGAGGCGAAGTTTCACGTTAGTGCCGTCCATATTGTCAATTTTGCATTTCATCACATTTAATTGTCACATTTGATTGTCTTGTTGTAGCAGCTAATCCATCAACAACTTGTTATTTTTCTGAAGCACCAGGTATTTAATTGCACCAGGTACATGTACGTGGTGCACGAGCTGCGCTCTAGAGATGAGCGCGAGAGGCTCGACCTAGCGTTTGCATTTTAAGGAGAGGTAATAAAGGACTTGCACGTGAAGCGAGCGAGGCAATGGCTCTACGCAACGCCTAATGTAGAAGTGAATTGTCAAAATAGGCGTGGAAATGCTAAACACACATGTGGTTTGTTATATTGATCAGGAACAAAGTAGTAGCGCGACCCTGAATGTATCACGATGTTTATGTTGACGCGGAGAACCTGCTGGTTTCTTCATCCGTCCTCTGTATTTCAGCTAAATTCCCGGTGCTTGTCGGTACCCGCTTTGTTGTACACAGCAACATCCATGCGAGTCTCAATCGCATAACGCGGAAATATGCGTCAGTGACACGATGACGCCCAAATCTGCGAGCGTTGAGCACATATGAGTAAACCATTCCGATGATCATCACTCCACAGCAGATACCATCGGGCTGAGTCGGCTCACGGATCCAGCTCGTAATTACTTCTTTTGGAAACGATTCTTTTGAGCCACTATCAGTATGCCACCTTTGCAAGTACGGCAGAAACTCATTTTTCCATGCGCTCAAAACTTCTTTGCGATAGCATTGCTGATCAAGCGGCTCGTAAAAGTTCACTCTCAGCGTTGTTGGGAACAAAACTTCCACGACGATAACTCCCCAGTGATCCGTACTCAAGTGAAGCGGCAGAATCACAAATTGCGTCTGAGATAACCATTGTTTCTGGTGGCTTTGGCCATCGCAATGCCAGAGTCAGCAATGAAAAGGCAGCACATCCTCGTGCACTATCTGCTATCAAAGTGATTGCCGTGTCGATGGCAGCGTCGTTTAGCCTGTCGCGTAGGGCTCCACAAGCAATATCGTTGAACTTTACAACGCAGGTTCTCGACTTAGTCTTCAGCTCTGTCATCAGCGATAGTGTCGAAAACTTCTTGATCACATCGTCGGACAGTGCTTCGTGCATTTGTGCAGATTCGGAATGTAGCAACCCGTTCGTTTTGGTCTCCATAGCAAATAATTCAACTGGGTGGGCCTGAACAAAGCGCCATTCCTGTTTTATCCACTTCAGGTCCTCAAGGAAACCCTTCGATTTCGCCTTTATGTCGTAAAAACTCCTCATTCTGTACAAGAAAGAGCTACATAGACATCACCAGTGTTAGTAGCAAACACATGACTTAATGATTGTGCTGTGGCGCCCTTAGTACTCCTCGAGCAACCTTAATACTCTTGTAGCACCCTTGGTACTGCAGAGAAGAAACTGTTGACGTACCTGTGGAGAGCGATGTCGCTTGAGCCGAATGAAACCATGAGCCCCCATGGTGCGTCTTCCTTATTGGCAGCAAGACGGGCCCTCTTGTTCAGCATCGAAGCCTCTGCTTTTTTCAAAAGAACGTCTGAAATAACAAATGAATGTTCCTTGTGGCTGTTCGCGCTGGTTTCCGTTGCAATTTCACATCTAACGGGACGAGCTTGGATGAATTTGTCAGTCATCCGCACTGGATACTGGTCGAGCACATTCGAGACCTTCTCCACGTTTGGATGATAGTTAGACCACTGAATAATGTCTGTCATCGTTGTCGTCACCTCAGAAGAAAGCAAAACAAGAGCAAACTTCGGCTGTGGGGTGCTCCATCCTTGCTTCTTCTTTTTTCTTGTTCGAGGTTTGGGGGCTGGGAGCTGGAGAAATTTTAGATCTCGTGCTTTTGGGAAGAATGTCCGATGACACGGTAGCCTCAACAGGCAGGACTTTGGATTGGTTTGTTTTGATGTCAGATGTATCCACGTCCTCGTCGTCCGGAGAGAGTTGTAATGCAGGTTGTTCAGAAGGCAGCGCAGGTTGTGTTGGTTCTACAAACCAATTATCGGACGGCGCTGTATCTTTGTCTGAAAGAGAAACGTCGTGCATCGAAATGCTCCACTTTCAAGCGAGGTCAGCTAGAGATTCAGCCTTCATGGCCTGTTTTTGATCAACTTCCATTTCGGCCATCACATCTGCGTAATCGAGTTGGCCCAGGTAGCTTCCCGTATCACTCTTGAAGCTATCGTCAATGGATCCACAGTCACCCCCTACTTCTTCCTCGAGCACTGTCTTTCACTTACTCATCTGCTGGTAAAAGTCAACTGTCGGCAACGCACTAAATTTTTCAAAGATTGATTCAAACATTGCTTGTGCTCTTGCATATTTCTCAGCGTCGGATAAGACAACCATATTTGCCTGTTCCTTTCGTCGTAGACGCACGTACTTAACAGAACGTTTTCCCGTGCTCAGAGCCGCAGCAGAAATATTCTTTAAGGGTGCTGCAACGGCTTGGGGCGCCATAACCGGAGGTGGTCGTGCCTTCACCATATTAACCACCTCACGAAGTGGGAGCAACCCATTTTCAAACGTCGCGTACAATTCTTCAGTCTTTGTCATGCCCCATCGAGCTGGTACTGATTCTGCTGGAAGTGATTCGAATCCATGAATTTTGCCAGCAACAATCATTACGTGCTGGCAAGGAAGTCGGCAGCTTTTATAAAACAAACAATTGCACGACCATAGTAGATCGTCAACACACCATTATTGATCATGCAAACACACCTTCCATTCGGATTGGGCCAACCCGACGTGTCGACATGTAGCTTCACTCTGGTGCACCATGAACAAGTTCCACTGAAACGAAACCTTCACAAATGTTTCGTTAGACAGCTTCGCAGCAACGCGTTGCAAGAACCGAGGAATATCATCCGGTGGACGCGATTGACTTGAAAACTTGCGCAACGATGTCAGGACGTGGTTGACACCATTGACTTGGTTTTGTAGTAATCCCGCGATTGTTCGATCAATCCGTGATTTTTTTTCCAAGAAGCCGTTTAAGCTGGTTCCAATTCCTTTCAATCCTAATCGTCGTCGTATTGCCCGCTGTAAAGTAATCCCCACGACCATGGTTCGACCACATATCACTACACCACTCCCAGTTTGTTTTGAAAGTACGTAAAAATCTTTGGGCACGGCTTACTACAAATATCGAGACACTTTCTTTTACACAGTTTCTCGAATCCATCTCTTGCTCGCTCAAAAGCTTCTCTGGTAGTACTGTACATCATCTGCTTGATCGAGATCTCCACTTCATCTCGCTGAACGCCATTAAGCCCATACTCTGCCCGTTTATAATTTTTTCCAGTTCGCCATGGTGTGAAACTGGCAGAGTAGCACTGTGGCTTGGGGGAAGCATATCTCTAACACTTTCCACTCCTTGAAGGCTTTGTCTATCACAAAGGTCTCGATGTTTCTCCATGAATTGTTGTGCGTCTTAAAAAAATCCA